GAACAAAATAGTTTCTCATTAAACAGTACGCATGTTGCCCTATGACAATGGTTAACAACCCCACTACACGTCAACACTGTCCTTAACTCAACCTTGGGTTCCCTATCACCGGCTTTTCTGTCCCCTCCTGCCTTCTAGTCCTTGTGCCTGGACTGCTGTGCCTCATTAGTCCCGTTTTGTTTTATGGGGCTGGCCAGTCCCCGGCTGAATGGTGAACCTCAGAAGTGACTTCACCACTGAGCTAAAAGGGTATCTGGGGTGTTTTGGCACTTCTGCCTAATTATGTCTTAGCATCCATCAGAGTGTTGCAATACTGTCCTGGGACCTGTGCAACATAAAATAATACCCGTTCTAGTCTTTCTCTTGGGCAAGAAGAAGGCAGGTATTTGAGTGTGATTCTTTCTTGTTACAGGAGCTGTCTTCCTTACTGTTACAGAATATTATAAAGTGAAAATATCTTTTTTGAAGCTTTACCTGAAATTTTATTGCTATTATTTTTCCAGGAAATTCTTACAATCTCTCTGTTGGCAGTGAGAAGAGAACCTATTGTGATCTGCTGTTTTATTTCACCAGTGTTTTGGCTGCTTTTATTCCTGAGTTTCATTTTTTAGTTTGTAATTTACTCTATCCTATATAAATTTAATCATTGTATCTGTAGCTCTCTGAATATCTGCTGGCTGAGACTTACAGAGCAGAATAAAAGCAATAACAGAGATACATTGGTGATTCCAAAAACCCAAGTCAATAAGCTTAGAAAGTAATCTTCCTGAGAGATGAAAAAAATATGGGTTCAAACACAAACTCGTATTTTTTGACAAATCAGTACAAAAACTATTTTAAAGCAAATTTGTATAAGATTTATTATCCTTTTTTTAAAAAACTGTTGATACCTTAATCAGAGAATTTGATCAAGGTTTTTATGCACAAATAAACAAGTCCCTTAAATTTTCATTTAAATTATTACTACTGCATTTTGCCTACAAGGATGACTTTTACATTGAATAATACTGACACTGACAGTATCCTGGTACAGACACAATGTGGATTGTTGGGTGAATATTAGGACAGTTTCATATGTCATACAGCTCCTTCTCTACAACTGACACTACCAAGGTGTCATAATAGAGGGTGACTCAGACACCAGCTAAATTCTTCAAAGTCCTCCCAGCCTGGCCCAACTATTTTTCCTGACCTCACCTCCCATTTCTCCTCCTCGGTCTCACCTGCATACACTGTACTGTTCAACCCTTCTGCTTCCTTTTCTCTGCTATTCATATTCCCCAAGTCTGAAATGCCCTTTAGCCTTCTGAACATCTTACCTGTGTTTCATATCTTAACAATCTTTGACTCAGGTACTACTTTCTACCTGAAGTCTTCCCTGATCCAAAGTTGGACATTGTCTCTTCACCCTCTAGAATATCATAGTATTTTATCTGCATCAATTTTATGGCTGCTCAAATATTCTCATTTTATGGTGATCAATAGAAATATCTAATGTCCTCTATTTTGATTGTAAAGTCTATAATAGCAGAGACCAAATTTTAGTCATTGGAACTTTTCCATAAGCTACATAAAACTTACCTGTATAAGTTATACAGAAAAGGTGCTAAATGTTGAATGACTAAATGACGATTAAGTCAATAGATTAGACCTAAAATGAAGATGCTCTCTCTTTTACCAACTTGGTAACTGTCTTACACTTAGAGGAAACTAGATATTTGGGGAATAAGGATAGATGGATGGATGGATGGATGGATGGATGGATGAATGCATGCATGCTCTGGATCTGGGCTTTCAATGTCAATTAAGAGTTTGTCTTTTTATGATACTCATTTCTCCTCTTCTCAGCCCTACTGCTCACTACACCTTCACCTGAAAGTCTCTGAGAATCCCTACACATCAGGGATCATTGCGAGTCGAGACACAGCTCCGAGCATCATAGTGGCTTCAGGTAAGAAGCTTGCTGATTTGTTTGCTGTTGTAAATGGGGTTTATTTGAAGAAGCTAGATATCCGTGCTTGGAACTTAATGAGCAAGTTAAAATTATTTCTGAAAGGCACCTAAACCGTTGATCCTGAAGCAAGAATGCTGAAAATCCCTGCTCAGATATGTTTGCAATCTAAATCCATCTCAGGAAACACAAACCAGCTTTTGCAGAAAGTTCCCCTCACTAATGGTGATGTGTTCTTTTCTTAGGTAACATAGGCTCTGAATTGTCAGACAGTGACATCAGCATGTTTGTCTCTTCCGATGCGGGAAACACTTGGAGGCAGGTAAGAAAGTACTGGGCCAAGTTGCTGCAGTTAAAGTGGCAGAATAATTGTCCAACTTGGTTCAATACCGGGGAATTATTCAGCAACACTACACGTAAATCCTAAAGCCTGCAAATGTGTTTAGTTTCTTCTTTTATGAAAGTCTTAAGCCTTTGAGTTGAGCAAATATTTATGCATTTGATTTTTATTTTTAATAAAGATATCCGTTATTCAGAGACTATATGTAAGAAAGTTTATAAATGACAAGGAAACCAGACTAACTCTGAATTTTTCTCATAAAAGAAAACCAGAAGTTCAATGGGTTTTTCATGTAGGGAACGTGGAGCCTGAAGGGTAGATTGTATACCTAATGCTGAGTTGCCTCCATAAATTCCCCTTGCCTTGAAGTCACAATGGAGAGGAATGCAGTGATATTGAATTAGCCATTACCCAGGTGGTGTTCTTAGATTTTTAAATCTCATGTGCAAAAGGCAGAGTAATAACCATCAGGATACATATGTTAGGGAAAATAGAAATGAAATGACTTTAAACCAATGTGTTTAGCTGAAATGCCTTTTATCTTTCTTCTGAATGAAAATTAGATAAGCCAGGCATTTAATGAGGTTTAGCAATCATAACAAGATATGTACCTAATGCATGGTTTTTACACTTCAATAAGTATGTTTTAATAACCCACTGACGTTTAATTATCGTACAATAACTAGCAGTATAAATTGAATTCTAATGCACAGGTAATCACACTTAGCAATGAGAACACACTGCTTTAACTTTTAGGCAGAGATGTCCCTGTTATGGTCCAGCTGCCGTTTCCTGGTTTCAGGCCCTTCATAGATCCTCGCTGAAATTCTTATGTTTTGAGGGTAACAGGATAGGGAAGAAATTGGCTTAAGAAACCCTGGAGCAGTTGATCTTGGAGGTAATGTAGGAACATGGACTATTCGAAGCAAGCTTCCTCTGGAGAATACTTAGAGAGCCTGGATCCCCTTCTCTTCCTCCTAACACCCCAAACAAGGCAAAGAGTCTGGAAGTCTCTACTTCTGTAATCCTGGGGTGGACTGTAAACACCCTAAACACGGGAAGGAAATTATGTCTACAGTGTGACTGCAGATAAGGCTGTACTAGCAGAGTGAGGGTGAGAAAGTAGTGTGCATCTTATTGGAGAGAATTTAGAGATTGTTTCCAGCTTGTCTCCATTTGACTTCAAGTTGGCTTCTCCACATTTGGAGAAAGATCTGAGGATATGTGTGCTAAAAGATAAGGATTCCATTTTCATCATAACTACCTTCTGACTGCCTTGTAACTAGAGCATCTCTGAATTGAACAAGGACACCTTAATTTGATAATACTTGGAAATATTTTAAAACAATTAGGTCTGGAAAGGACACTATAATGGTGCAAGTCTCAGCTCCCTCAGTCTCAGGCAAGTCACCACATCTCTCTAAACCTTCATTTTCTCATCTGTAGAGATGAGAACATTGGAGTAAATTATCTCTAAGTTTCCTCCCATCTAAATATGTATCATATATGACGGTTACCCGATATTCTGAAATCATCAGAAATGGTAACTATAGAACTTACCTTAAAAAGAAAGGAATATAAACACGTATATGTAACTCCTAATTTATTTTAAATTTCCTTATGTCACACATAGATCATATTATGTAACACTAGTGATTCATGTACCCCACCTTGGGAAGCATTGTTACATAACTGTTTTCTCAAAAGTTAGGGAAACCTACTGCTACCGTAAGGAGCCCTGGTGGTGCAGTGGTTAAGCACTTGGCAGCCAACCGAAAGGTCAGCGGTTCAAACCCACCAGTTGCTCTGCAGGAGAAAGATATGGTAGTCTGCTTCTGTAAAGATTTATAGCCTCAGAAACCCTATAGAGTAGTTCTGCTCTGTTCCGTAGTTCTATAGGGTCACTATGAGTCAGAACCGACTAGATGTCAATGGGTGGTTATTTCTATGGTGGGAGGGATTTTTCACCTTATATGAAGACTGATTCTCTGAAATCTGGTTGTGTGTGGATGTGGATGTGTGTCTGCATGTATGTGTTTTCCTGTTCCAGATATTTGAAGAAGAGCACAGTGTTTTGTACCTAGATCAAGGTGGAGTCCTGGTTGCTATGAAACACACTTCTCTCCCCATTCGACATCTCTGGTAATGGCACCTGCTGCCCGTCAGTCGTACACCTGATGTTCCACACTGCTCAGACCAATCTAGGAGTCAGGCATCTGCAGACAAAGTGTGACTGTGCTTGTAGTAAAATGCCAAGGTCTACTGAACATAGTTCACACCTTCACTCTGTTAAAATAAGATTGTTGCCTGCATTTTTACAAAAGAGAGAGAGAGAGAAATACGTAAAATTAAAAACAAATTAAAGGGTCTGTCTGTCGGAGAGAAATTGCATTACAGTTTTCAGATATGATAACTCCCTCCTAGCAGCTCTATTCTTCCAGCACAATCATGGATAAATATGTTCCCTCTCAGGTGCGGTCTCTGATTAGTTTAACTTCTTGCAGTCACCTTTGCAAATAACATCTCCTGGGGTTTAATATTTGTGTTCATTATGTGCATTCCATTCAAGGATAGCAGTTCCTGACACTTCTGCTCCTATCTCATTTCTCCTGATCCTGCCTCTTTTGGGGTGACATTCTGCAGGTCAGCCTGTTGGTGTTTCACAGGTAGACATGCAAAGCCTCACTTCCAGGGGGATTTCCAATAGGCTCCTTCATCTGTTTTTGAAGGGGGGCTCTCTCCATGGGCTAGCTTGTTTGAAGTCAAAAGCCTGCTGTTCCTCCCACTGTTAGTTACTTCAGTGATGCCTGCAAAGCTGCAACTAGAGCATCATGACTTCAGTTTAGGAAAGGGAATGCAGAAGTAAGCGAAACAAAGACTTAGTTTGGAGGGAGGCATCCAAAGAGAAAGAGCAAAGGGAAATGTCTTTGTGACCATCAGCACTGCAGACTTCTCTCCTCTTGCTGTCAAGAGCCCGTCCTTCTGTACCCATCCATTCAATGAGGTCGACCAGGATTTGTAACAATGTCAGAAGGATGCTGCTTAGGGTTTGGTCACTTAGAGGTGGACTGATTGCAGTGCATCTAAGTAAACCTCGTAAGGACATCGCTCTGCAGGAGCACCGTGCTGCTTGCTACTAGATTGAGATTTTGGCGAGGGTCACGTTGGGATCTATGATCTGAGAAAATATCCAAATTAAAAAAAATTCTATCTCAGGCTTAGTATTAGTCTCATTTCATGACGCTCTCCCCTTACTGCTGTTTTAACACACCTGAGTCCCAAATTGCTTGGCCAACTATATTTCTACCTTCTGATATAATGAGGAACACAGTCATATGGAAAGGCTCACTTTGACAATGTCTCAGGTGCTTTTATAATGTATTCTCTCCTGGTTGATAGTGTTTGTCCTTTGAAAGAGTTTTTTTATTTTGTCCCCCCCCCCCCTTTTGAGATTCAGTGACTTATTTTTTCTGTCATTAGGTTGAGTTTTGATGAAGGGAGATCTTGGAGCAAATACAGTTTCACATCTATTCCACTTTTTGTGGATGGGGTTCTGGGTGAGCCTGGGGAAGAGACTCTAATCATGACGTAAGTGGAAAACTATGATGTCTTCATAAACAAGAGTAAATCCAGAAAAATGTCTTGTAGCTAAGCCTGTTTGATTTTCTGCTGTTAGATTTGAAGTTGTTAGCAAAGTCAGTGCATCTGACAAGATTCTCCAGCAAAGAAGAAATATGTAGACAGCCATTTTCTTGGCTCTTTGCTAGTTATTAAAAAAAAAAAAAACAAGTTGTCATTGAGTTAACTCCAACTCATGGTGGCCTCATGTGTATCAAAGTAGAACTGTGCTCTAAAGGACTTTCAATGGCTGTGATTTTGGAAGTAGGCCTTTCTTCTAAGGCATCTCTGGGTGGACTCCAACTGCCAACCTTTTGGTTAGCAGCCAAGTATGCTAACAGTTTGAGCCACCCAGGGACCCCTTGCTAGTTATTAGCAGAACCCAAATTGAGGGGTGTCAGCAGAAGGGTAAAACGCTTTTATTTCTAAACTAAATGGTCTTGAGGAAATTAGAAGTGATTTTTTAAAAACAAAATAATGCTATAAATTTAAAATCTTAATAATAATCTAGATACACATAAAGTCACAGATGTGTAAGAATGATTTCACTTTAACAGAACACAGAGCTTGATCAAAAGCACGCAAAGGATTTTATTTGTCCCTGGCTCTTTAGCTAACCCAGTTGTGAGGCATATTAGGAAAACCACAAGAACAATCTGTTCTTGTGAAATTGAATTTCTGCTTCATCTTGTCTGGAAAGCGATGATCATTAATTTGTGAAAGACTTGATTAATGACTCTGTTGCCTGGGGGTTTCAAAATATGGCCCTTGTATTTGAAATATGAAACTGTGATTTTCCTTGCCCCTGGGAACTTGGATGTGGAAGACAGAGAGGGAAGGTTTTAAAGTACTTGATCCTGTCATCAATGAAAATTTCAAAATCAAAGTGGATAGTTGACACATTTTCCATGGTTTTTATTTCTCCTCCATCTTTTTTTAAATGGTAGAAAACAACAACAAAAAGTTAATATACTTAGTAGCTACTTTTGCTCATGGTTAACATTGCTAGAGCTAGATGGTAATTTCTTCCAGAACTTGGATTTATCTAATTTTTATATTTGCAAAACACAGGTTTAAAAAGAGCTAACCAAAAAGGCTACTTTGTGGCTTTTAGCCACACCTACAATTAATGATTTCAAACACCTCATGAAATACTTAAGTCTCTCTGTGTAAAGAGAGTAGAAGGCCAAGTGTAAGAAATGACTATAACCACTTAGCAGGGTTGCCTACTTTCCCTAGGAACTGGTGGGAAGTCAAATATCATGAAAACTATGGCAACCATGTCCATTAGCAATAGAACCTTAGAAGTATAATCCTGGACCACCTAGAATGAAGCATTTGTAATTTTTTCTGAACCATTCTTTTTGTGCAGTGTATAGAAGTGCCCTCTAATTGTGTGGGACGACTCCACGAGTTATTAGTGACGTGAATTTGGTTTTTGCATGTTAGCAAAACTCACTTTAAGCCTCCAGTTTCCCATTTGTGAAGTGGAGCCAATAATAGTACCCACCTCATAAGTGTGTTTGGAGGATTACATCATATGATCCATGTATTGTGCTTAGCATTGTGCCAAGCTCACAGTAAACACTCAGCAAAGGTTAGATAGCTCTCGTTATTACTGTTGGTATTGTTATTATTGTGATTATTTTTTATCATCATGGGCTCTGCAGAGTGTTTGGACACTTCAGCCATCGCTCTGAATGGCAGCTGGTCAAAGTGGACTACAAGTCCATTTTTGATAGACGGTGTGCCGAGGAGGACTACAGACCCTGGCAGCTGCATAGCCAGGTAGGAGGAGAGCTGGTGTTGAGCTCTGGGCGGGAGGCATGGGGATTTGGGGGGAAGAAAGTCATAAAGATATAGGAATTGGGGTTCTCTAGACCAAAATGCCCATCTAGTGCTTCCTGATGTGTTTTGTGTTCACAGGAGGGAAGCAGCTCAACATTTATAGCTTGTTTTGAAGTCATTTCTGTTTTTATTGTGCTAGGATATAATGAGATAAAATTCAAATGTGCTGGCTTAGACTTACAACTCAAAATGAAATACCAACTCAGCACCGAGATCCAAACATAATTCATCTGAGCATGTCATATGGTTGGAGGGTGGGGGCGGGAGTGAGGAAAGGATCTTCAATTTTATCTAGCAGTGCAAACAGAGACATAAAATAACAGAATTACGCTGGGTGAGCCATGCCAAAGAAACCCATCCTCCCCCCTGCTGTACGTCCCTGGGCTTAGGTAATGCTTCTTGCCTCCTGCCAGGGTACTCGTGGTACAAGAATGCAGAATTATTCATAGGAAACTGTCCCTCCCCCGGCCCCTCAGCTATTCAGCTCATATCAAAATGCTGCGTTGAAAGCATCTCTCCTTTGATTTCCTCAGGCAGAAGTCATCCCGCGGGCTTCTCAAAGGACATGGCAGAAGTTCTTGCTTCAAAGCTACCACCATATTCAGGCAGTGAAATATCATATACCCTGAACCTAGATTAAGTAATATATTTACATGCAAATGTGTTATGGAACCAGTTAGAGTGAGTTTGCTCAAGGAAGATAGTTTAAAGTAGATTAAACAGAACTCTGATCCTTCCAGCACAACAAAAGATGTTGTATTTGATAGCAGGGCTGCATCAGTTAGAAACGCCCACTCTATTCAGTGGCTCCGCAATAAAATGATCGCTCATTTACATTGCTGATATTTCCCCCTTTGGGATGCACACGCATTGTGATATTCAGAGCTTTTATTCATTTTGTGGAGAAAGCACTGACTTTAGTTCCCTGGAATGTCTGGTAGACGAGCAGACTGCCAGTGTCTAGATTACGTGAAGTTTGAGAACATCTTCCTAAACTGGCTGATGTAGAGCAGGGAAGGCCCAAGATGTCCACCCAATTGTGTGTGATCCTTGTCTCCTTACAGGGGGAGGCATGCATCATGGGAGCAAAAAGGATATATAAGAAGCGGAAATCAGAGCGGAAATGTATGCAAGGAAAATATGCAGGAGCTATGGAATCTGAACCCTGTGTCTGCACAGAGGCCGATTTTGACTGGTGAGCTTGCACTATTAACCCTTGAGTTGTTCAGTATGTCCAATCCATGTGAGCCCCAATGAAAACTTAGATTTGAAAATAATAGTTACGTGCAGAGAGCTAAGTGACAAACCTCATTTTCTTTTTGTTTTGTTTTTGTGAAGTTACTTTTTGAGAACATCAAGGCTTACAAGCTATGTGCATGTGTATACGGGAAAACCAATAGTTTCTTTAAACTTAAGAAGGATTTAATAGGTGGCTAGTAATTATTTTCACACATTTGGTGACATCTCAGGAAAAAAAAACAAAGGCCACATCCACTCTGTGTTGTTTCGGATGGCAACCCTGAAAATAATAAGTGGACATTTTATGAAGCCAGTATAGTTGTGCTCAAGATAAAAACTTTCTAGAAACTAGGATACCCAGCAGTGGAGCAGTAGCCTTGTAAGACAGCAGATTTTATGTTGCTGAGAGTTTTCAAGTAGTGGTCAGCTGACTATTGTTCATGAAACATGTGGAAGACAAATCTGAGTCCAGTGCCAGGATGAATTCAATGGCCTTGCGAATCTATGACTGTGAGTGTAGTGGTGAAGGAGATTGCACTCTCCACCAGGACTAAGGAGGCTAAACTAAACTCAGGAGTGCCATAGTGTTCTTCCTGTGGCATTTACTAAGCAGAAAGCTGGCTTGTAGGGTTTACAATGTCCATGCGTTATTCTAGGACAGTTTTTAGGGTTCAGGTGAGGTTGATAAATTATTGAGGCCTAGTAGGTAGTAACTGCCTTGGTTGTTTCAATCTAATTTCCTGTTCCTTCCCCCACGCCTTCTTTCTTCTTTCTTTCTTTATTTATTTTACTTATATATTTTTAGTTTAGAGAAAGCAATTGCTAAATATGTATGTAAATGTTAAACAATTGAAACTTGACCAGCATAAGAACCAAAGTCATTCCTTTAACAATATGATCATTTATTTCTAACACTGTAGCAATCCCAGGTCAAGTATCTTGTCATGAAAATATCAGTGATTGAGATGAGATGCTGTGTATACACATACCAAATAGCTGAGAAAAAGTAAGTCTTCTCTCACAATAGACCCATGAAAACCAGCTCTGAATAAATAGTACTGGGAAGGCCTGGCAAAATCAGCTGCCAGCAGTTAGACCAATGACCCAGGGTAGCTTCCCTCTTGTTGGTGGACAAGGCAAGCCAGAAGCCAGTGCTATATCTCTCTGGGCTCAGCAAGAGGGCAAAAGAGCTTCAATTGCAGTGGAACTTGCAAGGAATTCTACAGTGGCCTCCCTAACGGCAACTTCTGTTTTAGCTAGTGCAACATTATTATAATGTCAGGAATATCTTTTCTCAGTCCTAACCTTCAGAATTAACACTCTGAAATATGTGTACAAGGTAACCTTCTGTGGGATTGTAAGTCATTGCTCACATCCCTTTTTTTGAAGCCTTGACTGCCTTCCTTTCATCCACCCTTCTCAGGGAGGATTGGTAAAGGAAGTCCGCATTATACATTAGTGGTTGAGCTTTGGTCTTACCAAATAGCCACTTGTTTGCAGAGAGCAAATTTATTCTCCATTAGAAAACCAGAGAGAAAAAGTGAGATGAGATGTTCTAATTCCCCAATTTCTCCTGGAAACATTTGCTTCTACAGGAATCTCTTCTTCTAGGTCCCAAAATAAGTCAATCTTTGTTGTTGTTCTTCTTCTTTTACAATTGTAAGTAGTTTAGAGTGAAGAGAACACAGGGTAAGGAAAGCAATTAGGTTTTTCTTCCACCCATCACTCTCCTTGGTCTTGGCTACTCATTCCACTAGATAAAACACATTCTGAGAAGTGAGAAGTGAATCATGAATCAGAAGATTCTACAGATTTCTGGTCAGATGAGATTTTTGTAGCTGTATGATGTCTGATAATATTTTGGAAGGCTCACCATGACCATGTTGGGTTTCTCCCAGCGGCTGGTGCTTCAGCGGCTCCGTTTGCCTGTAACATAATAAAAGGTGATTGGCACTGCATGTTCCCTCTTGGCTCTTCCCAGCGACAGTCCCCCAGATGACTTTGCCTGTCATTCTCCAGCATTTGTAAACCAGTTCCCTGAAGTGAACCCCGGGTGTCCTGTAGGCAGCAATTCTGAAGTCTTCCTTCTCATGCTGTTGAACTGGCACCAAATCCGCTTGGTATGTGCAGAATTCTAAGTGCCAGCTGCCTGGTGGCAGGCCCCTTAGCTAATCCTATTTCTGCCTTCCCAACCCTCATGTGCCAGCATCTTAACCTCCATTACACAAATGGGCCAATTCTTACTAATGCCTGCTGATTGCTGCCTGCTATTTGTCTGTGCACCTAGGGGTGCAATTTGTTGTCATCCTGCGTGCCCGAGTTCATCCTCTGGGAAGCCAAGAATATCAGGCCCCTCAGCGGCCCCTGGAGTCAAGAATGAGAGGAGACAGAAAGAGAAGTCTTTGACTATATCGAAAGTAGGGAGAGGGTTTGAAGCAGTTAGTCCCAGCTGGCAGCACTAACTGCCTAGCACAGAACTTTTCCTTGAGGGGATACTCGAGATACTCCTGAACTTTGAAGCATATGGCATGTGCACAGAGAGACCTGGCTCAGCTCTACTTGGTAGATCCAGATGTCTTGGAAGAGCAACCCAAAGACATTGCAGTAATGAGGGTTGGGCCGCATGCGACTGTAACACCCTGCGCTGGCATTTGACACTGAGGGTTGGGCTTTCACCACTGCCTGTTTTCTAATTACAGCTTTTCTGGGCCCAACAACAGTCAGTATTGTGTATCCTTCTGATGAGGATATAATCTACTCTCTCCGCTTAAAGGTGTTTAGTTTGAATTATTGGGCACTGAGCCATCATCTCTACACAGACATCTCTGTTGCCTCTGGGTCAGCGTTTCCCGGACTGGGTTCTGCAGAATATTTTCATGGGTTGATAATAGATACTGCAGGAAAGGGGAAAAAAAAAAAAAAAAGACTCCATCTTGAGAAAGCATTGATTTGGCAAATACGTGTTTTTTGATTAACTGATTAGAGTAAAAGTTGGCTGTGAACTAACACAATTTGTCCTTGATGATTTTGCCACCTACTGAATGGTTTCTCTTGGCTCTTTCCCCAACAGCGACTATGGTTATGAGCGACACAGCAATGGTCAGTGCCTGCCAGCATTTTGGTTCAATCCATCTTCCCTATCAAAGGATTGCAGCTTGGGGCAGAGTTACCTCAACAGTACTGGGTAAGTGTCCCTAAGCAGGGACCTTGAGAGGCAAACGTTTCCTGCTTTTCAAGCATGTATTAAACTTAGAGAATTACTTCTGTCAAAGACCAGGTTTGTTTCATTATGGGAAACAAGGACTTTGTACACCTTAATAAATGCCACATGGCTTTGTGTTAATAGTGCAAGTTTCATCTGAGAATAATAAGACCCCAGTTGCAAATAAAGAAAGGAGAACAAGTTCCTTGGATGAAGATGAAGATGGTATGTGTGAGTGGGATGTGTGTGTGTATGTATGTATATACATACATGTGTGTGTGTATATATATATATAGTTTTTTTATTACTTTCTTTCTGAATGATTTAAACATGTGAGACTACCTTTTAGCCTCACACTTCATCCTTGTGAGGAAGATCAAATACTGCCTGTGTGCATTTCCTGTTTTGTAGATGGGGAAACCAGACTCAGGACAGACACTCATTGACTTCTCAAGAGTACGCTAGTGTTAGTAGGAACATGCTTCATTTTCTTCCTATATCCAATCTTGACACGTCTAAGACCTGTGTTCTGATCTTTATAAACTTGGAATTAGATTCTAAAATTTTGTTTTTAATGTTCTGTATCATGAGATTTATCACATATTATTTATAAAAAACATAGAAGGGAAAATATTTCATGATTTTTCTGTAAATGTAATTGATGTTTATAGTCTTAAAAAATAACATTAGTTTGTGAACCACATTTGGATTCTTATTCAAGCAGATAATCTACAAAAAGGACATTTTTTAAACATTTGGGAAAAATTGAACATGGACTGGGTGTTAGGTGACATTATTGAATTATATATTTAGGTGTGGTGATAGTATTGTGAATTGGCTAAATAAAAAAAAAAGCTTTGCCTGTCAGAGATGTAGGATATGTGAGATTTGTTTTAGGTGTTAAAAAAAAAAAAGGGAGGTGGATAATAATAATTTTCAAAGATGAGTTAATTGGAGACATGGGAGGTTGTAATGCATTTTCTCTCTTTTGTGAATTTTTGAAAATTATAATTTCAAACAGTTAAAAAAGAAAGAAAGAAAAATGGAGGCAGGAGCTTCACCAAGAGGCAAGTTCTGCTTGACACCACCTCTTCTCATTTCTCTGCTGGCTGTAGTTCTAAGAATCCACTGCAGGAGGCGCCACGTCCACATTTCTGTTTATGCGCTTCTGTATTTGAGTTTTTAAAGTCTTTTCATTAAAAAAACTAGAAAAATAACATGCATTATTATTTTAAAGGAGGGAAAACACACAGATGGAGTGCAAGTATTCCTATCTCTGATGTTAGGGGTTCCTAGACTCTTTGAATGAAGGAGTTGTTGTGATTTATTTACATCACAGCGCAAAAGCTGAGGAAAGTACAAACAACTTTTTATACCAATGCATTAGCGAGGTCTTCAGTATGTAGTACGTAGGGCGGGGTATAAAAGGGCTGATGAAATAACTAAACTTAATGGTGAAGGAATGTCAAAGACGGGAATTTTATTGCTTGCATGTACCGGCATGCTTAGATATTGTAAAGGGCATTGGAAACCCCTACAGCTAATTTCAGGATTGATTTTTTTTCACCAACTCAATCAGTCGAGGAAGTTACATTTTCCTCTCTTTGATGTTGATGAGAGGAGGCTGAAATATGTTCAAATGTGCAAACTGTGTCCCAGTTGGTACTCAAATCAGTGGAAGAAGGCAGACCATGGAGGCCCATGACCCACAACTTTTCAGTTTATTGAGAATACACACACACACACGTGTACACTACACACTGAATTTATTTTTTATTTTTTTACTGTGGTAAATATATATGTAATAAAACGTTTGCCATTCCAACAATCTTCATATGCACAGTTTAGTGACATAATTATGTTCATTATGTTGTTCAACCATCACCCTTATCCACTCCCAATTTTTTCCATCACCCTAAAAAACAGAAGCTCAGTGCCTCCTAGCATTGAGTCTTCCTTTCCCCCTCCCTCTTGATCACCCCTGGTAACTACTAATAAACTTTGGTCTCTATACACTTGCCTATTCTAAATACTTTATATAAGTGGGATCATGCAATATTTATCCTTTTTTGACTGACTTATTTCACTCAGCATGTGGATGAACATGGAATACACTCATATTTTTTAAAGTATCCATAAATAGATTTGCCCATTCCTTAGGCAAACTCAATATATGAAATGCAAATAAATCCTGACTCATAAAAAATAAAATATCAGAGATGATTAAATAATACTTTTATATTCCAAAGGATTTATCATCCATGCTCTATAGAATTAAAATTACAATTTCGATGAAAAATGTGATTCACCAATAAATCAGTAAATGTCCAGGTATATAACTGTGTGTCAATGCGCTTACTACGTTTAGTAAACCTAAACATATCCCTAATACAAAATACCAAAGACTACCTCCTGGGGCTCGGCCACCACTCTCACGGTTTTGTTCATATCAGTGGGTATTGCATAATAACATCTGACCAAAAGGATATTATTAAGTTGCCTCATCTGTTGGTTTCATCTGTCCCATTCGGCCTTTTTGCAGAAAATCACAGTATCAGTGCGTAAGCGTGTGTCAAGAGAACATATGATAAATACCAACCATCAGCAGGTATGATAAATGTCCTGCTCTCAGAAATAAGATCCTCACAGGTGGAGGAATGGGTGCCCACTTAGGGCCTATGGACTAGCAGAGCGGTCAGTAGTAAGCCCTGTTGATCAGCATATTGTCTAAGCTATACCTCTTACATTTGGAACAAGAAGACCATTAGCCGGGACCAAAAATTCAAAAGTCAAACCAGTTGCTGACAAGTCGATTCTGAGTTGATTCTGACTCATGGCAACACCATGTGTGTCAGGGTAGAACTGTACACGATAGGGTTTTCAATAGCTGATTTTTCAGAACTAGATCACCAGGGATTTCTTTCAAGGCACCTCTGGGTGTGTTTGAACCACCAAACTTTTTGTTAGCAGCTGAGTGCTTAACCATCTGCACCTCCCAGGGATCACTTTTTGCTGGAACAGGGGTCTGAACCCTTCTTCAAAGAAGGCTTCGCACCATTGGATGCCCCTTTGCAGTGTCTGTAGCCAACTTAAAAGATGGCAAAAAATAAAGTGTCAGTGGAATTGAAAAAGAACTTTCTGCCTTTCTTAATGCCACTCCAGGCTCCCATCCCAGTTGTCACTTGGCCATATGTTGATTCTGTGGCATTTTATACACACAAAACCAGTACTTAATATTATAGCCACCAAAATACTGCCATAAATAATTTTTAGATTTTCATTTAAAAACTAATTATAAAGGAAATATATACATATGTTTTATATGTTTAAAAAGTTACATTAGTTCATCACCCACATCCTGGCCTCTTCCCACACAACTGTGATCTGTTTGGTGTGTGTGGTTCTAAACCTTTTTCTTTATGCTTGCAAGCAAATAATTGTGCTGTGGGAAAATATATAAAATTAATATGAAGGGTTGTTTTCCTTTGTGATTTCCTGCCATAGATACTGCTCTGCTACTTGCTTTTCACTCAAAAACTACATCTTAGTCATCTTTCCAAGTCAGTGCATGTAGGGCTACCTTCCACCGTATTTCTTTTAAATTGGCATGGCATTCCATACTATTGAAGCAACCGGGATTATTTATTCATCCCCTTTTCATGGACATGGAGGTTATTTCCTGTTTTATGCCACTATAAACAATGCTGCAGCTAACATTCTCATACCATTACCTTTATTAGTAAGAATCATACAAAGACAATTAGAGTCTCCTTTGGCAATCAGAGGTGTTCTGCTATCTTGTGAAGCAAATTCCACACAGCCAACCATTTATTTCTTAGACTTTGGTATCAGGCATTGACAAATACCTCCCCTAAAAGGGTTAAGACACTAGGTTCCTACTCACACACTACCTGTGAGTCCCACAAATTAGAGATTCATTTATATTAACTGCCATCCTCATTTAAAATACAAATGCCAGTGGATCCCACAAGGGGAAGCTGAAGGCAAAGGTAATTAGGATTTTGCCAAGTTAACAAGGTGGGGAGGAGCACTTCAGGCAAAAAGAGCAGTAAGAGATAACCCAGGTGAAAGGGCCACCCTAGTAGTTTTTTTGAAGGGCAAGCCTGGATATCAGTGCCTAGAAGCCTATAGAATTAAGGCACAGCTGTGGAGTCTTAAGTCTCTCCAATGGCAGTTTTAACCTATCCATGGCAGCCTCTGTATTAACCTCAAGATTGGGATGAAATGCAAATGAATCACAAGTGCAAGGTCAGCCTGAGAGCCAGTGCCTGCTTACGTTTTGCTCTCTCAGTGCCTCCCATGCCTCACCAACCCTATCCCTTACAGCACAGTACACCATGCAGACATGAAATTGAACGGGGTCTACTAAACGATCATCCCTTGTCAGTCATGTTTAACAAGAAAAGCCTCCCAATACCACCTTTCTGAGAGTTTAATTGTAAGCATGCAGTTTAGTTGGAGCATTTTAAAAAATGCTCACTTTGTGATGGTTATTGTTGCTTTCACAGTCAGCTAATTACTCTGTGAATATGGCATTGTACTTAGGTCTACTCACCTCCCCATGGTGGAGAAAGTCTGGCATCAGTTGTTATTATGCCCAATAGAAATTCTATTTTGAGGAGACACCAAAATTTGTATCTGTTTCACTATGTAGAAGTAAACAGTTGTGCAATTTAGTGGTTGGTTAGGACTAAGAAGAGATAGTTGGAATAAGAGCTGAAATGGGTCGAGCATGTCCCTCTAGATGGCTGTAACCACCAGTTCTTGCTCCTTGGTCCAATGGTGTCAGAGTCGCTAACGTACAATCAAAGCAGCTGTGGAACAACACGTGAGCACAACCCTGCTGTGTTCTCCACTGTTAGCTCCCCGCCTCCTTTCATTCTTTGCTCCCACAACTTCTACAAGCCATTTCATATCCAGATGGAAAGCGAGGAGACTGGTACTGGGGCCTCAGCTGGTTG